TTTATTTATTTATTCTTTGAGTTGGAGTCTCACCATGTTGACCAGACTGGAGTGCGGTGGCACACTCACGGCCACTGCAGGCTTGACCTGCTGGGTTCAAGCAATCCTTCCGCCTCAGCCTTCCAGGTAGCTGGAACTAAAGGAGTCTCACTCTGTCACCCAGACTGGAGGGCCGTGGCACACTCACGGACCCCCCAGAGTCGACCTGCTGGGCTCCGGCAATCCTTCTGCCTCAGCCTTCCAAGTAGCCAGAACTACAGGTATGCACTACCATGCCCAGCTGATTTTTTGATTTATTGTAGAGATGAGATCTCACCAAGTTGCCTGGGCTGGTCTTGAACCCATGACCTTAGGCAATCCTCTCACCTCCCAAAGTGCTGGGATAATAGGCGTGAGCCACCGTGCCCAGCCAATTTATTATCTTAAAATTTACAGGCTAGAAGTCCTACATGGGTCTCACTAGACTAAAATCAAGATGTTGACAGGGCTGACTTCCATTCTGGAGGCTCCAGGGGAGAATTCATCTCCTTGCCTTTTCCAGTTTCTAGAAACCACTTAATTCCTTAGCTCATGGCCCTCGCCTCCCTCTTCAAAGGCAGTAACCTGGCATCTCTCCAACCATTCTTCCATAGTCATGCCTCCCTCTGACTCTGACAGCAGCTGGGAAAATTCTGTGCATTTGATGACCCATGGAGTTAGACTGAGCCCATCCAGAAGATCCAGGAGAATCTTTTCATCTCAAGGTCCATACTCCGAACACATCTGCCAAGTCCCTTTGACCTGTATGTCAACATATTCACAGGTTCTGAGGGACAAGGGGACATGGACATTTTGGAGAAGCTGTTATTCTGATTAGCACATAGAAAAGACTTTAGGAAAATGCCCCTGAATAGGGCTAACCACTCACTCTTCACAATGAGAGGGGGTGGGAGGAGAACGTGTCTTACGGGGGACTATGTTCTGATTTCCTCCTTTCTTTGGATAATTTGTGATTCCCTACCTGATTCTCAGGGTTGTGGGCCTGGCTAGGGTTAGGCTTTTAGCCCCACCAAGTACAGCCTCATCTCCAAGGATACTATTTTCTGTGCATGCCCATTTTCTGCACCTGGTCCTCTTGAGGACCTGTGGCCTTGCAGGTGGTGTTGGCCATACCTCTTTCCGGCTCAGAAGCCCACCCAGTGTCCTCCTGGCCCTTCGCCTTCCACAGCTGAATTATGGTTTCTCTTCTTGGACTTGGCCTCATCCACTCCACCCCCATGTCTTTGCTCCCACTGACACTCAACTTTGAAGGCCCCATCCCCTCCCCAGGTCACATTCTGTCTATTCTTCAGCTGAACCCAAACACCACCTTTGATTCTCCCAGTTTCCCAGACAGAAGTCCTTGCTCTGCTCTAAAACTGTACTTTCTTTTTTCTTCCCTCTTCTCTCTTCCCTTACCTTTTCCTGCCCGCCTCATATTATTTTTATCTGGGGACATGTCTAATTGAGATGCTGAAATTATATACTGGTTACTTTGGATTTATCTGTTTATTACTGTTTTTCCAGGTGAGTAGAAACTTGCTTGCAAGAGCTTAATATTTAATGGAAATTATTAGTGATACTATTCTCATCATCACCAATCACTTCATCGTGGAAACATCTTCAACAAGGTCAAGGGGGCAATCTAAAATATTTAACAATTAGTTCAGGACAATCACTGATCTATCAGAAAGGATGAAAGCACCGATCTATCAAAAATTCTTCTGGTACCCATTCACGTGGGTACCTAGGTGAGTGCCATGTGAAGGTGAGCCCTACCTAACGCCCCACTCTAAGTCACACTGAGTCGCTTTCTCATGGTGCTCTCAGAGGCAATAGCCTGTCTTTCATAGAAACCCCTGACACCTTGGCCTTGGGTGTTCCTCCTCCACCCAGCTTAAATGGCCCTGGCTTTGGGACGCCTCTCCACCTCATTAGTCATTCCCTCCTCTGCTCTATCGCGTCTAATCACTGTGTATTGTAGTTATTTATGTCCAGAGCTGGTTCCCCAACTAGGCTGTCAGCTAGTCAGATCAGAGGGTGTGCATTATTCACATTTGTACCATCAGCACCCAATGGGTCATCACTACATGTTTGTTGAGTGACTAACACAAGGAGCATCTTTAGCACTTCTTTATGGGGCCTGCTCTCCTCAAGGGAGGTGCAGGAAACTCTCTACATAAATCAGGTCAGCTGGGCCTGGTGCCATTTTATTTACTTGTTCTTTTTTTTTTTTTTTGAGTTGGAGTCTCACTCTGTCACCCAGACTGGAGTGAGGTGGCCGCTCCCGGCCACCGCAGCCTCGACCTGCTGGGCTCCAGCGATCCTTCCACCTCAGCCTTCCAAGTTGCTGGAACTACAGGCGCACACTACCACACCCGGCTCATTTTTTGATTTATTGTGGAGATGAGGTCTCGCCAAGTTGCCCAGGCAGGTCTCGAACCCGCAGGCTCAGGCAATCCACACACCTCAGCCTCCCAAAGGTGCGGGATTACAGGCTGAGCCACCGAGTCTGGCTTACTTGTTGATTCTTAAAGTAAATTTGTGTTTTTTAAAAAATATATTTTTGTAACTTAAAAATAACATGTTCATTGAAAAAAATGTAAATACAGAATGTATAAAATTAAGTCTCCCTTCTCTTCTAATTCACTTCCCAGAGACAACCACTAGTACAAACATTTTAACAGCTTTATTAATATATAATTCATATGCCACACAAGCCACCAAAGTGTACAATTCAGTGTTTCTTAGTATATTCACAAGGTGGCACAACCATCACCACCAGCTAATTTTAGGACATTTTTGTTTCTCAAAAAAGAAACTAGGTACTTATGAGAAATCACTCTCTATCCCTTCCCCTGTCCCCTCTAGCCTTAAGCAACCACTAATTTACTTTTTATTTTTTTGAGTTGGGAGGGTCTCACTCTGTCACCCAGGCTGGAGTGCAGTGGCATGATCACAGCTCACTGCAGCCTTGACCTCTTGGGTTCGGGCAATCTTTCTGCCTCTACCTCCCAAGCAACTGGGACTACAGGCACGCACCAGTACACCTGGCTAACTTTTTAATTTTTTTGTAGAGACAAGGTCTCACTATGTTGCCTAGGATGATCCTGAACTCCTTAGCTCAAGCAATCCTCCCAGCTCAGCTTCCCAAAGTGCTGGGAATACAGGCATGAGCCACTGCACTCGGTTAGTTTACTTTCTGTATCCATAGATTTGCCTCTTCTTGGACATGCCAAATAAAATGTGTTTTTTGTGTCTGGTTGCTTTCACTTAGCGTAATGTTTTCTTTCTTTCTTTCTTTTTTTTTTGAGTTGGAGTCTCACTCTGTCACCCAGACTGGCATGCAGTGGCCGCTCCTGGCCACCGCAGCCTCGACCTGTTGGGCTACGGTGATCCTTCCGCCTCAGCCTTCCAAGTAGCTGGAACTACAGGTGCGCGCTACCATACCTGACTCTTTTTTTTTTTTAATTGTAGAATGAGGTCTCGCCAAGTTGCCCAGGCGGGTCTCGAAGCCGCGGGCTCGGGCAATCCACTCACCTCAGCCTCCCAAAGACACAGGATTACAGGCTGAGCCACTGAGCCTGGCTGCATAATGTTTTCGAGTGCCAGCCACGTTATAGCATGAATCAGCCCTTCATTCCTTTTTATTGCTAAATAGTATTCCATTGTATGACTATAGCATATTTTATTTATCCAGTAATCAGTCACTATTTAATACACCTCTTGTATTTATACAGGTTGCCCAGGGTTCATTCCCCACTTGACATAGTCCTAGATGGGTGATCTTCAGTAAATCCTATCTCCAAGCCTGCCTCAGTATCCTCAATTGTAAAATGTGCAAAATAATGGAATCTACCTGACGGTGTCATGGTTGTACTATTACACTAATTATTTGAGCAATTTACTATGTGCCAGGCACTTTACAAGGATTACTTAACAGACCCATGCTTTACAAATTAGGGAACTAAAGTAAGGAGAAGTATCTCAAGGTCAAAGAGCCTCTAAGAAAGTGACTGAGGTAAATGAATCACAGGCTGTTTGCATGGCCTGCACCATTAATGGTTAATAGCACGGAATAACAAAGTGTTTAGCAAGGGCCTTGCAAAAAGAATGGCCTTAGTAAATAATAACTGACAGAATATGGCAGTATCAAATATAGAACAGTGGCTTGTGCCTGTAATCCCAGCACTTTGGGAGGCCAAGGCAGGAGGACTGCTTGAGCCCAAGAGTGAGAGACCCGCCTAGGCAACATAGGCTCCAAAAAAAAATTAAAAAAAAAAGTTAGGCATGGTGGTGTGTAGCCCCAGCCACTTGGGAAGCTGAGGTTGGAAGATCACTTGAGCAGAAATTCGAGGCTGTGATGAGCCGTGAGTGAGCCACTGCACTCCAGCCTTGGGAGAGAGCGTTGAGATCTCGACCAAAAAAAAAAAAAAAAAAAAAAAAAATTAGCAACTGACTCCCAAAGATACCTGCCACTGTTAATATTTTGGCATATTTCCTCCTGGTCTTTAAGAAATATTTCAAACCGGGCGCGGTGGCTCAGCCTGTAATCCCAGCACTTTGGGAGCCCAGGGATTCAGGACCAGCCTGAGTAACACGGCGAGACCTCGTCTCTACAAGAAATTAAAAAAAAAAAAAAAAATCAGCGCGTGCCTGTGGGTCCAGCTACTTGGGAGGCTGAGGCGGAAGGATCGAACCCAGCAGGTCGAGGCTGCGGTGTCCGTGAGCGTGCCCCTGCACTCCAGCCTGGGCGACAGAGTGAGACTCAGACTCCAAAAAAAAAAAAAAAAAAAAATCATACCACGAAAACACGCGAAAAATCCTGTCTGCAAACGCTTAACAGTCGCAAGGGCGAAGGACCAGAGACCTTAGAAGGGAAGAGCCGCAGGCTCGGAGGTCTCGGTCCGCCGACCTCCCGGCATGCAGCGCGCGCTCCCGGCGTGCACCGCCGCGTGGGGGGCGGAGCCGGCGACTTGGGAGGACCGCGCCGCGGGAGCCCGCTTCTCCGCCGCCGTCAGGGACGAGAGGCGGGGGCGACATGGAAGTGTAAGCCGCCGGGGACCGAAGAGCATAGCTGGGGACGGTTAGAGCGCTGGGATCCGAGAGACGTAGACACGGGGCGGCCCCTCGTACCGGGCTCTGAGAAGCGTGGGGACAAAGGGACCCTGGCTCTGCCCCTTGAACCTCCGCTGCTTACCCACACCCCCTGCCTGGGCTCCGGGCCGAGCACCTCGGGGTCCGGCCGCCTTCTCCGTCCCTCCCTCACCCCCTCATCCATTCACTAGCGTTCCGGGGTCACGGATGGGAGGGAGCCCGGCCTGGGATCCCGTCGGGACGGAAGGCTGTGGATCCCCGATTCTGCCCGCCCTGAAAGTAACTGCAGGCGGGACCGGCGCAGACGGCTGTAGAGCACTGCTCGGCGTGGGCTCCCGGGGGCTTGACACGCAAGAGATAGAGGCGGGTTTGAGGAGGAGCGGTCGACCCTGCGGGCGAAGGGGCGGGATTCAGGGGAAAGAGAGTGCCAGCGCCAGGCCTGGGACCAGGGAAGCAGCCCGGGGCGTGGTCTGTGGGTGGGAACTGGAGGGAGTAAAACCCGTTCTAACAGGTAATCTCCACGTGGCCATTTCCGTGTCTGCCCGTGAGGTTTTGCATCTACGCTGCGTGTGGTTTTTATTTTTTCTAAGTCGGGGTCTCACTCTGTTGCCCAGGCTGGAGTCCAGTAACACCATCACGGCTCACTGCAGCCTCAACCTCCTGGGTTCAGGCGTTCCTCCCGCCCCAGTCTCCGGAGAATTTGGGACTACAGGCACGTACCGTCATGCCCGGCTAGTTTTTGTTGTAAAGATGGGGTCTCACTGTGTTGCTCAGGCTGATCTTGAACTCCTGGACTCAAGCAGTCCTCCTGCCTTGGTCTCCCAAAGAGCTGGGATTACAGGCGTAAGCCACCATGCCCGGCCTGTCTGTAGTTGGGGGTCTCACTCTGGTGTTCAAACTGGAGTGCAGTAGCACCATCACGGCTCACCGCAGCCTCAACCTTCTGGGCTCAGACGATCCTCCCGCCCCAGCCTCCAAAATATTTTTTGCCGGGTTACTTTTTGTTGTTATACAGATGAGGTCTCGCAGTGTTGCTCAGGCTGGACTTGAGCTCCTAGTCTCAAGCAATCCTTCCCCCACAGCTTCCCAAAGAGTTGGGATTGCTGGCATGAGCCACGGTGCCCAGCCTGCATGTGGTTTTTACATGGTTGACATTGGCTTGTAGGCCTATGTTGTGTTCTCTGTGGACGGATTCTTTGATACATTTTCCTTTATGTTCTTTGGCCTCATGTTTCGTGGTTATATATACTACTGTTTTTCAGATTTAAAAAAAAATTAACACAATATGTGTATGTAACTGAAATGTAAGGTTCATGAAACAGTGCTGTATGGAGTACACTCTGATAGTGTATATTCTCTTTTATTAAAAAGTATGTTGACCCACTGAGCTAATTGTGCAACCCGCTGGTGGGATTTAATCTGCAACTTGAAAACATTTATTTATATTAATCTAGTCCAAGCCATTATTAATCATTTTTCCCTCTTGACTAGAACATTTTCCCTGTCAGCATACAAACCTGCTGTAATTTGTCCATCTTTTAAAAAAATCCCTTGTTTCCATATTCATGTCTACTTGTTCCATTTCCACAAAACTTCTTGAAAGTGGTGTTTACCCTTTCATTCCGTCATCCATTTTGTTGGGCTTTCATCCTCACTAGTCTGCAGTAACAGCTCTTGTGATGATTACCTGAGCCTTCTAGCTTGTGAAATCTGGAGGTTGATTTTATGGCCTCAACTTTCTTGATCTCTCAGCAGCTGTTGATACAGAAACTCTAGAAACTGTCTTAGCTTTGTGTCGTACACTCCTTGATTTCCTCTGACATCAAGGGATACTTCCCAGAGTTATTTCCTGGCTCCCCTTGGCATCTAAGTGTTGAGGTATTTTAGAGCTCAGTCCTGGGACCCTTTTTCTGCATGCTCTGTGGTTTTACCCATCTATATGCTGATGGTTCCCAAAAGTGTATTTCTAGCCCTTTTCCCTCATCATTTTTCCAGTTGCGTAGACCAAAACTCTAGCCCTCTTTCCTCACTCCTAAATTCAGTCCATCTCCACCTTTACTTATTTTAAATTTTCTCTCTCTCTCTCTTTTTTTTTTTGAGTTGGAGTCTCACTCTGTCGCCCAGGCTGGAGTGCAGTGGCACCCTCACGGCCACTGCAGCCTTGACCTGCTGGACTTAGGCGATCCTTCTGCTTTAGCCTTCTAAGTAGCTGGAACTACAGACATACGCCACCATGCCCAGCTAACTTACTTTTATTTTTCAAAGACAGGGTGTTGCTCTGTTGCCCAGGCTGATCTTCACCTTTAGAATACATTTTGAATGCAGTTACTTTTCACCATCTCCGCTGGTAATTTTGTACTCTCATCTTTGATCTGAGTCAAGCAGTAGCTTTTTGGCTTCCGTTCTTTCCACCTTCCCCCCTCACCTCCATTCTGTTCTCCATACAGCAACCAGAGTGATCTTAAATAGTGATTATTTTAGTTTCACATTTCCATTTTTCTCAATTTCTTAGCTTGAAAAATTTCAAACCTATGGTACTGTTGCCAAATGAGCACCACAAATACCTGTATACCTTTTACCTAGAGTTTCCACTTGTTAACGTTTTTATTTGTGTATCTGCCTTCTTCTGTCCCTCCTCCCCTCTCCCCTTCTTCTGCTTCAGCCTCCCAAGTAGCTTAATGTTCGGCTTTCTACTGTACCTAGAGGAAATTTACATCACTTACTAGAACCTACAAAACTTACTAAAACCTTATATAACCTCATCTATTCCCCAGCCTTTTCTCTTGCCACTCTTCCCACGTCCCAAATTGCACTGATAGTCAGGTAGCTTTTCTAACCTTCTAAGCTCAGGACCTCTGCTCTGTGGTTCCCTCTACCTGGTGTACTTTCTCCCTGTCCTGTTTCCTTTTTATCCTTTTGATAGTTCAGGTTGATTGTCCCTTTTTAAAGTTGGCTTTACTTTTCAGTCAGTCCATAGTAAGTCCTTTTTGTCTCTCATAGCACCTTGTTTACTTTTCTCTTAAGTAATTACAAGTAGCAGTAATAAATGTAGGTTTATTTGTTTAGTGCCCTGAGAGGAGGGGCCAATGTGTTCACCTAGTGCGTATCACTGCATCTGGCATATAGTAATTGTAGGCATTCAGCAAATACTTGTTGAATGAAATAAAATAACAGTAATAATAGTTTAATAAATATGGTTGCCTCAGCCGGGCTCGGTGGCTCAGCCTGTAATCCCGTGCCTTTGGGAAGCTGAAGTGAGTGAATTGTCTGAACCCGCGGGTTCGAGACCCGCCTGGGCAGCGAGACCTCATCTCTACAATAAATCAAAAAATCAGCCGGGCGTGGTAGTGCATGCATGTAGTTCCGGCTACTCGGAAGGCTGAGGCGGAAGGATCACCGGAGCCCAGCAGGCGAGGCTGCAGTGGCCAGGAGCGGCCACTGCACTCCAGTCTGGGTGACAGAGTGAGACTCCAACTTAAAAAAAACAAACAAACAACAACAACAAAAATATGGTTGCCTCTTAATATCTGTGGGGGACTGGGTCCAGGACCCCCTGTGGATATTGAAATCCACAGATGTCCAAGTCCCTTATATAAAATATATAAAAGTATTTGCATATACCTATGCAAACCCTCCCATATACTTTAAATCATCTCTAGATTACTTTTTTGCAATATTGTGGTACACACGTACACGCATATGTTTTCAGATGAAGTAATTTCTTTTTTCCTTTCATTTACAAACAGCTTCTGTGAAGCTTTTTTAAATTATAAAGATGTGGGGTACAATTCAGGGTTAGGTATACAAATGTTGATTATGCAGATACCCTTGTTGATATCATATGCCACCCCCTAGCAGTTTCCCTCAACTGCCAATCCCACATCCCCCTTTCCTTAAAGTTTCCAACTACTGCCAATCCCTTTCTTATAATATTATAATTGTTCAAGGTCCACTTATGAGTGAGAACATATGGTACTCTGTTCTTTGTTTCTGTGGTAGATCACTGAGGTATGATCGACTCTAAATCCATCCAAGCTGCTGCAAAGTCCTTATTTATGACTGCGTAATATTCCATTGTGTGTATCTACTATATTTTTTTTATCGTCTAGCTTCGATGGGCAGCATGGTTGGTTCCATATTTTTGCTATTGTGAATAGAACTGCAACAAACATATGTGTGCAAGTATCTTTTTTGTAGAATGATTTGAGTTCCTCCGGGTATATTTTCAATAGGGGAATTGCTGGGTCGTATGGAAGGTCAATTTCTAGTTCTTTCAGAAACGACACACTGTCTTCAAAAGAGGCTGTACTGGTTTGCATTCCCACCAGCAGTGTACAAGCATTCCTTTTTCTCCACATCCTCGCCAGCATCTGTTGTTTGTTTTATTAATGATGGCCATTCTTACAGAGGTTAGGTGGTATCTCAATGTGGTTTTGATTTGTATTCCTCTGATGATGAGTGAGGCTGACCACTTTTTCATGTGTCTGTTGGCTGTCCGTATATCTTCTTTTGAGAAGTGTCTATTCATGTCTTGTGCCCACTTTTTAATGGGGCTGTTTGTTTTTTTCTTTTCAGCGTGTTTGAGTTCCTTGCAGATCCTAGATGTTAGGCCTTTGTCAGATATACAGTTGGCAAATATTTTTTCACATTCTGTGGGCTGTCTCCCTGATGTCTTGATGGTTTCTTTTGCTTTGCAGAAGCTCAGTAGTTTGATGAGGTCCCACTTACCTATCTTATTTCTTAAGGTATGGGCATTTAGGGTTCTGAATAGGAATTGGTTGCTAATTCCAATTTCCATAAGGGTGTCTCCTGTGTTTTCTAAGATTCTTACACTTTGAGGTTTTACGTTTAGGTCTTTGATCCATTTAGAGTTAATTTTTGTGTATGGTGATAGGTAGGTTTCAATCTTCTGCATGTGGTCAGCCAGTTTTCCCAGCACCATTTACTGAGTA